ACACCTTGGGAGACCTGATGGAGAACCATCAATACGGCAGTTTCTCATCGAAGAAGTTAAGGAATCAGAGTTCCTGAAAGATGCACTATGGAAACTATCCCTGTTTGGGTCAAACATACCAGCAGAGTATCTGAATTCCAGAGTCAACTGTGGGAGGCACTTAACCTGTTCAAAAGACAGGATTCAGAGGAGGAGACCTAGGAGCTGACCAGGGCTCGAGTCCTGCAGGCACTTTTTCCACAGGAGGAACACCGTCCCTATTACTAGTCCTGTAAGATGCGGGGCTGGTACAAGCGGCCGCCACAGCAGGGGGGAGCACAGATCTGAATCCCCTGCCTCTGGCTGGGCACTCAGATTTTTAAACTCACCTCTATCCCAGCAACCTGCAGCCATTGTAGCCGGCTGGCCTCTCCTGATGATGTCAGGAGGAGGGGGGCGTGACTTTCACTGTTCTTCTCCCAGGACCGCTGGGGAGTCTGGTAGAAGAGCAGAGGATGTCACGTCCCCCTCCTCCTGACATCATCAGGAGAGGCCGGCCAACTCCACTGACTGCAGACTTCCACACTCCAGATCCTGTCCCACCCCTTCTGGCCAAAGGAAAGCCTCAGGGAGGGGGGAATGCACTTGAGTTTTTGTTTTTTTATCCCCTTCCTAAGCCCCTTTAACCTTACTCAGGCCCTGTCCCCCTCCTCAGTCCCTGTCCCTTTCCTCAGTCCCTGTCCCTTTTTTTCGGGGGGGTGGAGGGGAAGGATCTTGGGTGAGTTCCCACACTTTTTTACCCAGGACTTGACCCCTGGAGCTGAGGAATCAGGTACGCTTGGAGCTCTGGGAGACGGCGCACCAGTTTAAGAGGATATATTGCAACCAATATCTCCCAACTACAAGACAACGAGTTGAGGTTCAATGGGAGCTGAGGATACCATTACTGGGAAAGCAGTCACAAACGGAATTGAAAATGCTGGTCCAGGAGCAAGTGGAGCTGGACAAGTGGTACCATGCTTTGTATATTTAGGGGTAAAGATTGACTGGTCCCCGGAGGACTATGGCTTTGGCGGCCCTGGACTATTATGGGATAAACCCTTGTGTATATCTTACAACTCTCCTTTGTGTGTCTTACTCCCCCAGCCCCATTTGTGTGTCTCCTTGTCTCATAGCCCATTTGTGTCTTTAACTCTTCCCAACTCCTCTGTGTGTTTCTCTTTCACCCCCAGCCCATTTGTCTCCGCCCAGCCGCTCTGTGTCTTTTTCCTGTTCCCCAGCCTCTCTGTATCTCTTTCATGCCAGACCCTTTGTTTTCCACCATCAGGTCCTTCTGTGTGTCTTTCAGTCCCCTCATGTCCATCTGTGTGTCTTTCTCCCCGCCTTAAGGACACACCGGCCCTGATTCCATTGTGAAAGACAAGATGTGCAGGTTGAGGCCAGTAAAATAGGCCCTAACTGAAGCCAGACAAGTTAGGATTGTATTTGTGATGTCTGCAACTGGTTTTGAGATGTCCACCTTCATGATTATATTGCTGTAGATTAAAGGTGGAATCTGCCTATAAGTAAATTGCAGCATTCCAATAGATGCATACACATGCCTCTCAAACATCCCAAATTCAGTGGAATAGTTACGATTTCAAGGTCCTGTCTTGCTGCCCGGTCTTTTGTGGACACCAGGGAACAGTCCCCAACAATCAATAGATGTGCTCGCTCTATGATTAGGGCACTAGGATCCTACAGCGAGCACTTTAACAGCACTCCCTGCAGGGTCTGCCCCCAGTGGGTCGGGCTGCATGATTGACTGGCAGCTTGGCGTGCATTCACGCCAGGTTGACCTTTCATTAACTGAGGCGGACTCACCTCCTTTCTGGGTGGGCCCACCCCTTTGTGGGTGAATCCAGTGATGCACCTGCATCACTGACCCGCCTACTTTACCACCCTCCCACTGGCATTCCAATTTGCAGCATGCTGGAGGTGGATTTGGACTGTCAGATGTTGTAGCAAGAAACTCATCCATGGAACCACCAGAGTAATCTTGATTGAGTAAGCATTGCTTTATTTTCTGTTTCTGCCCATTCAAAGAGAGGGCAACAGATAATAGCTTAGTGCAACTGTCCGTAGAAGCAGTTCTACACATCTCTCAGCAGTAAAGCCATGCCTAATGTGTAGACTTCTTATATTACATATAATACTGCCTTTACATATTGTCATTCTCTTTGGGAGTCTATAGTTACTTTGCATTCATTATGGACAAACTTCACATGACAATCTTTCTGCTCTAATAAAAGCAGCAAAAAAAAGTGGAATTGGGGCACACCAGCAATTTGCATTTCTAAGTAGTGGTGCTGTCATAAAGACCAAAATATATACAAAATACAGAACAGGGAACAGCGCACACAATAAAATACAGTTTTATTATTAGCAAACAAAATGGGAATTCAGTTACACCACATGGCCATATTGCATTAAGCCTACCACTACGTCACAGTACCACAATACCACTGGCTCTCACACAAGGCTGTCAGAACTGCTCTGCCTTCCGCCGGGCTTTCCTCCACCTTTAACTTTGGCTGGACCACCAGGGATCATAGCCCCCCCTGCTCTACAAGAAAGGTAAGTAGGAAGAGGAAGGCACAACTCAGAGCACCCTTACATACAATGAAGGAATGGGAGAATTATTGGTTATCTTTTGCCAGCATGATATGCGTACTGACGATATATGCCTTGTATGATAGATGGCTATTGTTCCAGGCTGACTAATGAGACTACCAGACGTGGTGTTACACCTCCTGCAGCAAAGTTCTTTAACACTGCACATAGACCCCAAGGACCATTACCACTTCAGATCACAGAACTTATGGTCTCTTGGCAAACTTCAAAATAAATTATTCCAAATCTACAATTCAGAATATCTCTATACCAGAATTAAGGGCAGACAAGATGAGAACCGGATTCTCTTTCAGGTAGATGGAGCCTTCTCTTAAATACCCTGGGGTAAGACCTAACACTCATTTACCAAAGCAAATTTCCAACCTCCATTAACTAAAACAGAGGATTGGCTTGGGCCACACCTTTCTTGGTTCGTCAGGGTCGGGTTGTGAAGATAAACATCCTACCTCAAGTCTTCCATTTGTTTCATACATTGCCTTTCAGTATTCCTGAGGCATTCTTCATGGCCCTCAGATCTTTGATGCTCAGGTACGTCTGACCCAAACACCAAAGTGCAGATACCACACCACACACTCACCTTGCCAAAAGACCGGGTGTGGTGGGTCTGGCATTGCCGGATTTAAGGTGTACTACCAGATCCCACACATGTTGAGAATTGTGGAATGGTCATTCATAATAGCTACGTTACACAAATGGCATGCACATGCATCTAAACTTGGCCTCGCCTCCTTTACCTCACCACTATACCCTGTGATCCGCAACCTGATTTTTTTTTCCCAGGACTAGAAGCAGAAGACTTCAGGAGTCTGTTGGGTACCAAATTCCCCCAAATTAAACATGCAACCGGAGATGGGACGATGTGACCCTTGGACTCTCTGCAGATGGCTGAAACACCAAATTTCATGCACCATTTGCACTACAGGCAGTTGGAGCAATTAATTTCGTCTGTCCCCTAAAAATACCTGGCTATGAGGGACCTTACAGAATTTGAAGACATCTGTGAATTTGAAGACCCTATGGACATAGTTCTGTCACTTTTATATGGCATGCTCTTGACACTGCAGAGAATACCTCTCCTGAGTTTTATGGGGAAATAGGAAATTGCTCTGGGCGCAAAATACGCAACCAAAGAATGGTTGAAAATATGTGACTTGACTCTGCACTGTGCTCTCTTTAGTAGGATACAGAAAACATAATTTACTGAAATTATTGCATACCTTTGACTCCGCTATTGACAATACCTGCTGGAGATGCAAGTAAAAGATAGGCACCATTTTCCACATTTGGTGGGACTACGCCCTGTTCCAAAATTACAGGAAAACAATACACACAATCATACAGAGGTTCACAGAGGACTCATCCCCCTTGGATCCAGCTGCTCTTTTCATACACCACACTAAACTCTCCACTGTGGCTTATAAGAAATCCCTAACCATTAGAATTCTAAATATGGGAAAGAGCCTCATCTCCTTTGTCTGGAAAAAGTAGGTGCCTCCTCTGATGAACCTTTGGTTCCAACATATGGAGGAGCTCAAAGTAATTGAAAATGTCATAGCTTGAAAACGTTTGTTTATATCAGGCAATGTATCCATGACACTGAGGTGGACATAATGCACAAATGCTTAACCACTTAAGGACGTCGGGCGTACTATGCCATCCTTGAAAGGGTGGCTCTAAATGCCAGAGGGCAGCATAGTACGCCCAGCCGTCCTCCCGCCGTCCTGGCCTCCTGCACTTACCTGGACCGGTGATCCGCAGCGATCCTGGTCGGGGGGGAGATTGCCTGAGAGCCCAACAGTCCCCATGCAGCAGCTCTGGCACTCCAAGGCCATGTGAGGGGGACTGTCTGAGCTATCAGGTACTCCCCCTGACTCATAAAAATTAAAATAAAAAAAATGTAAACGCATTAAATATATTATACATATGTAATATATTATAAGATAATTGAAGCATTTTATAATATATTATACACATATAGTGCATATATATGATTTCATTAAATAGATACACATATATCTCAAAAGACACCAGCGGTGACGGTTCTGTAATGGAGGGGGCCTGAGTTTTCATAGCCGGGTAACCCCTCTCACAATTACAGGCTACACCTTACACGCCCTATGAGTGCACTCTTTGTGGATTATACAGAGTGGCTGGAGTTCGCACTGAGGCAAGTAACAAGACCGGTTCAATTGAGTGCGGGGAACAAGGATTTATATATATATATATATATACACACTATACCTTGCACTCAAACTCCAAATTTCCAGACCGGGTGCACTCCCAGGGCTCCAAATATCCAAGTAACAGTGTCAAAGGTTGCACTCACGGATTCATTAAAAAATAACTTTTATTAAGCTTTCCTAAAAAAAATCGACGTTTCAGTCCTATTCAAGGACTTTCATCAGGATTATGTAAACGGTTTACATAATCCTGATGAAAGTCCTTGAATAGGACTGAAACGTCGATTTTTTAGGAAAGCTTAATAAAAGTTATTTTTTAATGAATCCGTGAGTGCAACCTCTGACACTGTTACTTATATATATATATATATATATATATATACACACACACACACATACACTTTATTAACCCGTTTACTTCTATGCCGTCCCCATTATAATGGGCTTTAAAGCCGTTGCGGCGGCAAAGAACGTCGTTAAGGCCTAAGCTCCCAGGAGCTCTGGTGGACTTACCTCCGCCGCGATCCTCTTCGGGAGGACTGCTTGACAGCCAAGGCAGCCCTCCCCCGGCAAATCAGGCCCCCGGGGGCCATGTGACCGCTCTCAAGGAGCGATCACATGGCCCCCTATAGCTGGCTGTGGATCAGCCTGCAGGGGGACTGCCTGGACTGTCAGACAGTGGGTAGTGTAAAAAAAAAAATATTATTAAACATGTTAAAATAAATTAAAAGTGTATTTAATATATATGTAACGTCATACGTAGTGTATTTTAATATTAATATAAGTACATATATTAGTATTAAAATACACTTAGAATAAAGTCATATATGTATATATATATATATATATATATATATATAATACATATATATTTTAGATTTATATATAGATATAGATATATATATATATATATATATATATATATATATATAATTACAATAATAAAATATATTTTTTTAAATGAAAATAAATTATATATACATATGTAATTTCATTCTAACTGTATTTTGTTTTATGTAGTTTGAAATATGAAATACCAAGCTATGAGGGTAGTTTGAGCTATCCTGGTAGGGCTTAGAATATTTAATTATATAGGTCGTGACAGCATGGGAAGGGTGTGTATGTGCAGGGAATTAAGGATCCCCAGGCATGGGCCTGTGTATGGCCTGGCAGAGGAATTGTGTGCCAGCATTGGCTGATGTAACATAAAACAGTTAGAGTGGAGTTGACGTAGGTTTAGTGATGCCATACCTAAATAGCAAGGGTTGGTTAGGATGATGAATTTGCTTGAGTAGAATATAACAGAGATGGGTAAATAACCTTTAGTGCACAATACGTGATTATCTAACATAGAGTCAAGGAGATCATATGATGGTATGGTAAAGCCTGGCACACTAGGGTTTGTACCAGGAAACATGACCATACGTATACTGAACATAGGAGTGTGGCATGTTACTTAAAAATAAAAAAGAAGGTTTAGCGAATAGGTGGTCGTCCTCCAAATTAAGTAAAATACCTATCACGGGAGCAAGTATACTGATTGGCAAAAACACCTGGTAAACAAATGTGAACGTGATGACTGCCTCAGAACAGTACCAAGTCCATAAGTGATAGAATAAGACATTGCGATATATGATGGTAATGCTATATATGTAGGAAATATTAACGCGTACCGGAGCTGAACTTGTAATGGGAAACTGACAATATCCGTGCACATCATAAATACTCAGTGTGCACTTCCTATCAGTCTGGCTGGGTACAGGAAACAGAAACTCCTGTACGCGGACCGAAGAGGAGCTCGACCACGCTACAGGGAAGGGGAGGTGGGTAGGGAGACCACGGGGGGGAGGGTCAGGGAGGGGGAGTAAAGAGACCCCAGGGAGGGAAAGGGGATTTAAGAGAACACAGGGGGTGAGTAACATACCACCACAGGGAGGTGGGGGAGTAAAGAGACCACAGGAGGGAAAGGGGTGGGGGAATTAAAGAGAACACAGGGAGGTAGGGGTGAGTAAATATACCACAGGAGGGTGGGGGAGTAAAGAGAACACAAAGGAGGGGAGGGGGTGAGTAAAGATACCACGGGGAGTAAAGAGAACACAGGAGGGGGGAACAAAGAGACCACAGGGAGGAGGGGGTGAGTAAAGAGACCACAGGAGGGAGGGAGGAGGAGTAAAGAGACACAGGAGGAGGGAGGAGGGGGGGGAGTAAAGAGACCATATGGAGGAGGCGGTGAGTAAGGAGACCACAGGGAGAATGGGGTGAGTAAGGAGAACACAGGGAGGAGGGGGGTGAGTAAAGAGACCACAGGGAGGAGGCGGTGAGTAAGGAGACCACAGGGAGAGTAAAGAGAACACAGGAGAGGGGAGTGGCGGGAAGAGGCCAATGGAGGGAGTAAGGAGAATACAGGAGAGGGGGGGGAGAAAGAGAACACAGGGTGGTGAGTAAGGAGAACACAGGAGGGTGGAGGGGAGAACACAGGGAGGGGAGAAAAGCAAGGAGAACTCTGGGAGAGGGGAGAGTAAGGAGAACACATGGAGAGGGGGGGAGTAAGGAGGAGCATGGAGAGGGTATAAGGAGAGCACATGAGGGGGGGCGGAGCAAGGAGAACACACATGGAGGGGGGCGGAGTAGCGGAGAACACATAGAGAGGGTGGAGTAAGAGAATATGGAGGGGGGGAATAAGGGAGAACACACGGGGAGTAAGGAGAACACATGGAGGGGGAGTAAGGAGAACACATGGAGGGAGGGAGAACCATGGAGGGGGGGGAGTAAGGATCACACGAGGGGGAGTAAGGGAGAACACATGGAGGGAAGTAAGGAGAACACATGGAGAGGGGGATGTAACGGATCACCTTCCATTAATGGACGCTTCCTAGCCTGCGCTGAGGACCACAAGCACCGCACTGGACACAACAACCACCGCAGACTCCACAACCGCTGTAGCTTAACTAGAGCCTCGCCGTCTTCCGTCCACCCTGAATCAGCTTCTGTTCTCCATGATTGTGTGGGAAAGACCTCTCCTCCAGGAGAGCGTGTCAGGAACAAGCTCTAAAAAGAGCTAAGTGATTAAAAGCTCAGAGGAGTATGCAGAGCATAGCAATCCCCAGTGTGATGATAGCAGCTCCCTCCAATAACGAGACAAGGCTACGTATTGAGGGTCAAACAGGATCTGAGGTTTAATGACCCACACTCTGCTTTTATGCAATTCTCCCCTGCAAGGGAGACGTCCACGGACAATTATACAATACCCAATCACACAATGGTTACAACCCACACATCTCCTCCCCTTAGCCTGAGAGGTAACCCAATTATCCAAACCTTTTAAAACATACTTTTTACCCAACTTTCATAACTCTAAAACCATACATCCAATATTAATAAAGTCACATATTATTAATCAGCACATTCCAAATACAAACATACCCAAAAATCATTCGAATCCATTCAGCCGTTCAGGAGATACATATAAGTCACTTTTGACCGACCACAGGCTCATTTTCATGCCCAAAACAGTTCCATGGATTTGGGCTGTGCGGTCAGTCTATTTTACACCGAGAAAATGACTAAGTTCCATTAGAACGAGACTTAGTCTCCAGCCGCAGTGTAGAAGTAGAGTAGAATGTACGGGTCAGCGGTGTTCGTGCAATTGGGTAGCCGAAAACAGTTCCATAGATTTGGCTGCACACACCGCTGAACGCGTTCGAATGAGTTAAAATGGCCACCGCCACGTGTTTGGTATTCGAATGGCGGCCACTTCGACGACTTCGACAGAATCCGAAGTGCCAGTTTAAAAGTACAAATCCTTTCTTTGGGCTTTAAAAGGCCAGAAACAGCAATATAAGCCTCCAGTATGCCCACATCAGTTCCTAGAAGGGCAATACTTCCCAGGGCCATAGTCGCAGGGCAGGAGGCAGGCAAGCAGGCCTCTCCAGGACAAAGTGGCGAAGGGCACTTCGTCACAGGGGGGACTAAGGAGAACACATGGAGTGGGGGGGACCGAAGAGGAGCTCGGCCACGCTACAGGGTAGGGGAGTTGGGTAGGGAATCCACGGGGGGGGGGAGTAAAGAGACCACAGGAGAGAAAGTGAGCAAATATACCACAGGAAGGGAGGGGAGTAAAGAGAAATACAGGAGGGGGGGTGAGTAAATATACCACAGGAGGGGGGAGAAGAGACCACAGGGAGGAGGGGTGAGAAGAGACTACAGGAGGAGGGGGGGTTAATAAGGAGAACACAGGAGAGGGGGGGAGAAGAGAACATGGGGGTAAGAACACAGGGGGGAGTAAGGAGAACACGGGAGGGGGGAGTGGGGCGGAGAACACAGGAGGGAGGGGAGTAAGGAAGTACACCGGGGAGAAAGGAGAACACAAGGTGAGAGGGGGGAGTAAGGGAGGCATTGTGGGGAGCAAGGAGAACACAAGGAGAGGGGGAGAAGAGAACACAGGAGGGGGGGGAGTAAGGAGAACACATGAGGGGGGAGTAAGGAGAACACATGGAGAGGGGGGGAGTAAGGAGAACACATGGAGAGGGGGGGGAGTAAGGAGAACACAGGGAGAGGGGGGGAGTAAGGAGAACACAGGGAGAGGGGGGAGTAAGGAGAACACAGGGAGGGGGAAGGAGAACACAAGGAGGGTGTGGGGTGAGAAGAGACTGTTAGGGGAGGGGAGGAGGAGAGACCACTACGTGGCAGGGGACAGCTCTAAGGGACAGAAGGGAGAGCTCTATAGGACAGGAGGCGGGACCACCAGACCAGTGGATCCAAACTGCAGCCAGAGCCCATCACCATCCTCATCTGGTTGTAAGTAGGCAATCTAGTATATTATTAGTGACATCAACCATTTTTTTTTTTTTGCCCTTATGGCGGCAAAAGACCTTACACCGGCCCTGCATGTAAGCTTCCAAAACTCCATAAAACCTGTACATTGGGGGGGAATTGTTTCTGAATACAAATATGTGTATTTTATTTCAGTAAAATCCAACAGTATTATGACATTCACAGTTAAAATGCCATGCAGAACTTGACAAATATCATTTCTTAATTTCATAGACTTTTTCAGATTGTATTCATAATAAATTTTTTATATATAAAAATATTTGATATGAAATAAAGGCCCTGTTTCTCCTAAATAAAATGTATAATAAGTGTGGGGGCAAGCTTAAGTGCAAATCCCAGGTTTTGTTTACAACTTGTACAACTGGCTCAGTCCTTAAGGGGTTAAAGAGTCTATTTAAGAAATGTATTTCATGAAAATTACCTCCCTTTATAAAAAAATATTTTTTATCAGCAATTAAGCCGTAGTTAAAAGTTATACTTTGCCTAACGACGTGTAAAGATACGTTTACTAGATAGATGTAGAGATTTCAGATTTTGTAGTGCTACAACAAAACCTTTTATGAAGCGATAGGTTATACGGCGAATTAATGGTGGGGGTAAACATACTTTCTCTTCCTCTTCACCCCACCCTCAGCGACACTTGAATTATGGATTTTAGAACACATGTATAATAGATGTATTTTACCTGATCTGCAGATTAAGTGGGCAATGAGAAATTAACTAGGATTGTACATAACGTGATGCCTATGTTGGGATCTATTATAGTTACCATTTTACACTTAATTATTGTATTCCTATTACCACATTAACACTAATAGAAAACGCAGCCTTCAGCACACACCATCACAAAACACAGCAGGCGCATGGGGAACCGAAGTGCCATCCCACATTTCTGGCAACTGTTTCCTTCAGGACATATTCCACTGGAACACCTTTCCCTTCCTCTGCAGAAATGTACCCTCCCTTTAAACCATTACGAAGCCTGAGCGATCAAAGGAAGCAGGAAATCCCAGGTAAGAATCTGCAGCTGCGCTTAAATACATTCCACAGTCACCCCAAAGCTTCATTCAAAACAGCACTCGTGAACTTGTCTAACAAGTGTGAACGCAAATAGCTAACAATAAAGCAATCTGCGAAAGCATGTAAACACAGCCAGGGTAAATGTATGAGGATTTAAAAAAAGAAAAACTCCTTAATTTAATTTTATGACCCACAGGGCATTAGTTGTATATTCTACCGTATTCTCCACGCGCGAAAAAGAATTAGAAAGCAACATTGTAGCACGTTCTGGCATTTGTAATTTGCTCTCTCGTTGCTGTTAAAAGTTGTGCAAATAAGTATTGCTTCCATATTTGTAAAGCTCGGGCTGTTTTGGATTAATAAAAAGGGGGTGGTTGGTCCTGAAACACATCTAGAACTTATTCAGTAAACAGTAGTTTGTTGTAATTGGAAAACAAAACTAAAAATTACATGTAGACTAAAATATCAAAACTCACTATAGATATTGGATATTTTTTTCCGTATCTCCACTTTTTGCATACATGTCTTTTTCTGTTTGGTACACTTTTACAGATTAATCCTCTACTAAGTGTATAAAAAAATAATTTACTAATGCCGATCTGTACAAATTCTACTCATTGCTAGAAGTTAACATATTATCTCTGTTTTATTAGAGTTTGTTGTTTAGTCCCCAATAAAGCATCCGAACATACACAACATGCTTGCTAATTCGTAATTGGAAGTATGAAATTAAAATGTTATTTTTAACCCACACAAAGCCAGTTTTCTCCAGGAAGATTGAACTTTAGGCTGTATAGTATTACTTCTATGCCGTGTCCCAGGTTGATTGTGGTGTTGTAAGTGTTCCCTATATGTGCAGCTATAATACCACTTATCAACCTCATATGTAATTAGACTAGAAAAGTTTAATTTCTTATAGCCTCTTTCTCCATATAGATGGCGAACAAACACCTGAAATTAGGTCTTCAAGGTAAGTACATATTAGTTGGTTTAAGTTCCAGTAAACCTGTTCCAAAATTTTAGGATAATTCTAAGCCCGAGTTACACAGGGAGGAAAACACTTGACCCTTTCGCAGTGGCGGAATTAATGCAGAGAAGGCCCTGGTGCAAGAAATTTTTTTTCCAACCTATCGCAAAGGGTGGCCAAAAGGTAGGCCCCCCTGTCGTGTATAACTCCCACAATGCTTTCCCAGCTGGGGCTCTATAATTTTCCCATCCTTGCAGGGAGGTATTTAGCACTGAGCAGTGTCTGTACAGAGGGTGACTTTTGTATGTTTGTATTTAGTATTGATGTTTGGATGCATGGGTGTATTTGTGTGTACTGTTGAATTTTGAATGCAGAGATGTATGCACATATTCACATAAAGGTGGCCCATAGGTCCCTACCCATCCAGAACACTGATACACTGGATTCATAAGATATATGGATGGGCAGGGACTTATGGGCCGCCCTGTACAGTGCCACACACTATGCTACAAACATATACAGTTTTATAGGCACACAGATAAATACACTGATTCCAGTTACTATACTCACCTCTCCTCTGGGCTCAGGCTCCTCCCCCTTCCTCCAGTCACTGGAACCTGGTGGCTCAGCCTTAAAAAAGCTGTTTTACCGTAAAGAATACACCTGCATGGGCTGTAAACAGTGGTGCAGAATGCGTCGGCTGCAGGAACTTGGAGGTCTCTTCCAAGGCGAATAGTCACTCAAGTTGTGACTTATCTACTCAAATTATTTATTCTGTTCTGGTGCACATCTATGTACAGCCATAACCACTACAGTCTGTGTGTTTTATTTCTTGCCTTAAACACAATCCACTGAGGGTCCGGTGGTCGGGAGACAAGGTAAAAGTGAGATTACTTACCTAAACCTGTCCATCATAGGCGCCGCCATCTTTCTTGTTTTTGCTCCTCTTAAAGGACCAGGAGACAATGTCACTGCTGGCGAGAGTACAACATGGGGTCCCATGAGACCTCCGGATACTTCATACACACTCCAATTCCCTGCAGCCGTCACAAGACATCACCACTATTTGACCATCACTGGTCAAAGTCACTCAGATCTTTTCTCTTGCCCATTTGTCCTGCTTTTAACACATGAAACTCAAGAACTGACTGTTCACTTGCTGCCTAATATATCCCACACACAACAGGAGCCATTTTAATGACATAATCAAAGTTATTCACATCAGCTGTCAGTGGTTTTAAAGGACCACTATAGTGCCAGGAAAACATACTCATTTTCCTGGCACTATAGTGCCCTGAGGGTGCCCCCACCCTCAGGGACCCCCTCCTGCCGGGCTGGAAAGGGGTTAAACTTACCTTTTTTTCCAGCGCCTGGCGGGGAGCTCTCCGCCTCTGATCCTCCTCTTCGGCTGAATGCGCATGCGCGGCAGGAGCTGCACGCGTATTCAGCCAGTCTCATAGGAAAGCATTCATAATGCTTTCCTATGGACTCTTGCGTCTTCTCACTGTGATTTTCACAGCGAGAAGCACGCAAACGCCTCTAGTGGCTGTCAATGAGACAGCCACTAGAGGCTTTAGAAGCTGGATTAACCCATTTATAAACATAGCAGTTTCTCTGAAACTGTTATGTTTATAAAAAAAAAAAAAAATGGTTAATCCTAGAGGGACCTGGCACCCAGACCACTTCTTTAAGCTGAAGTGGTCTGGGTGCCTAGAGTGGTCCTTTAATGTTGGCTGATCAGTGTAATGTGTATTTGTTCACTTTGAGACAGATGTGTAAGTTAATCAGTTTTTCTTAGAAAAGTATTATATTAACCTATATTCATATTAATACCTCATTGATGCCCTGTACAGTCAATACCTACATTACCACTTATACATCTGTAGTATCCTGTTTTCCAGAACATATATTCATTATTTGGTGACCAAATAAATGTTTGTCATATTGATTTTGTTACACAAGCATCTCCCTGATACCAAACAAATGAACCAGTGACTCATAAAAACAATGAGAATTGCTTGATGTGTAGTAGTGCTGTTTGCTGATTGTGGCGAAAGTAACCTCGCCACTGGTTCTTTGAAGGGCCTGTTTGCCAACTTCTTGCCTCAGGACTGTGGACCATGCAAAAAGGCTCATAAAAGACCTTGTTTGTGCCTTTTTGCTATTCTGTTCAGTAGATTGCATTCCCCTCCAATTTTAACATTGTCCCGTTCGACTACCGAACCACAGGGACCACCCGGGAGCTTGTTAACACCTATTAACACCTTGGAACGGTTCTCACCGCAGTGTTCTAATTGTTCATCTGGATGGCCGCAATTCCTATGGACAACCACGAGGTGCCGCCGTCTTGTTCGCATGAGCGCAGGCAGCGGTGTTTGGGCATTAATCTCATGAAACTAAAATCGGACACAGAAACTCCCGAACACTGCTGGACTTCTATACAAGTTAGAAGGGCACTGTTCGGGTCTATACAAGTTAGAAGGGCACTATTCGGTGAAATCGTTCGTCTGGATGAGGGGAACAAGCTCCAGGGTAAGAACATTGACTATGTTTGGTAGTTTTATTTGTTTCTAAACTACCGAACTGGACTGACCGCAAGCCCTGATTCTGTTGAACTATTTGGGGCATGGTTGCGGTCGGTCAAATAAATGGCTTCCAGGAAATTCCTGAACCCCTGAACTGATCTGGGTGATTTTTGTATATGTTGGTCACCCAGATTAGAGCTATAAGGGAATGTAACATTTGTGGGGGGGATTTTATGTTTTAAAGGTATTTTGGGGGTTTTATAAAAATGTTTTGGAGATAATTGAGTTTAGTTCAGTGTTGACTCAATTATCTCCCAGGTACAGAGGAGGGATTAATCTATTATGTGTGGAAATGTCCTGGATCTGAGAGCCAATGTAATTGTGTATTTGTTTCTGCTGTGGTTTACTCTCAGGTCCAGGGAGGAGTGCCCCTTGCACGGGGACTTGCATAAAAGGCCAGTTGTGGCTCCCATTAAACAAGTTCCTGCCTGCCCTCAACATAGTCTCATCTCATGTGTGGGGGGGAACAGCTGTATCTGCTCTGGGGATTGCTATATCACTATACTCCTCTGGGTTATAATCACTTGCTCTTGTAAGAGCAGCCTGCTACACTCTCTGGAGTAGGAGAGGTCTGCTCACTGGAAGCTGGATCATGGTCTTGGGTCCAGGGTGGGTGGAGGACAGCGAGACCCCAGCCAAGCTGGAAGTGGGGACTACGGTGCTGATGGTGTCTGGTGGAGTGCTTGGAGTCCTCAGTGAGCACTAGGAGCATTGATTGGCGGAGGCACCCGGTCGCGGTGACAGGCGGTCCGTCACACTGATCTTAAATTATTTTATAATGGAAATGCTCTAGGACAGTGATAGGCAACCTCCAGCACTTCAGATGTGGGCTTCCATGTACTATGATGCTTTGCCAACAAAATTAGTCTGATAACTGATCAATCTACATTAGCATTTATATGTTTGCATATCTCTCAATCACATACTCCCAGTACATTAAGGCAAAGACTAGTGCACTATAAAATACAGTAGGTACTTCTTCACATGTTACTGTGATCACTATAATGCCATAATGATTGCTTCAGATATCTGTACATTATAAGACATGAATAATTACCCACATATATTTTCTGCACATTTCCACATGATTATTCATTGCTCATATAACATTGAGACAAACTCTGTAGGAGTGATATGATAGGAAGCTTACTCCATTCAGCATTCTCCTATGGTGTGAGACCATTGTGTTTATTAGACTTGTGCTTCCAGTTTTAAATCTGAATTTTGGGAGATCTGCAGTTAATACAAATTCCATAACTTCGAAGCACCTTATGGACATATCACGAAACAAACAATATGGACAGGGGGACGGGGCCTGACCGCAAACCGAGCAGGACGTACATGGCCTGAGCTTCTCAGCCAAAGCCTGAAAAAGCATCGATTAACCTACTAAATAACTACGAATCTGGCAAAACAAACCCTCATATTCCTGCAGAACACTAAGCTGAGGTGCTGGTTCAAGTTTTCTTGGTCCAGGCTGCCGTGGACTGTGCCGGATTGTCTTGGGGCCTACGCGGGATTGTCAGTCGGAGGAGGCAGGCGCTCCTCTGTCGGAACCTGTCTTGAGTCTCATCTGGTTCTGCTTTCCACCCCCTTTGGACCGGTGGGGGTTATCCCGGTCCACATTGCCGTGCTTATTGGACTGATTGCCTGGTACATCTCTACTCAGCACACACCTGAAGCTTAAGGTCTACTCACCAAAATGGAGACCGAAACGCTCAATGCCTTGAAGCCTGCACACCTGAAACTGACAGTGTGGACCTGTTCTTACAGTGGTTTGACAGCATATGTGCCCAATTCTGGGAGAAACTCTAAGCACGTGCGGCGAATACCTTGCCTGATGGTCCAAGCACCCAAGACCGGGGCTGCATCTCCATGGCCTACCCTGAGGGCAACTCCAGCAGTAAGGTGGAGGAACCGGAGACCAAAGCCGATGAAAAAATTACATCCCGGCCGTGCCGACGCGCCCCAGCGGCGATCTACAAGGGGCTATTCATCTGGGAGTGCAGCCCGCCGACAGAGAGTGTCAGCCCAGAGCAGCGAGCAGGAACAGAGGCTCAGTGATGGGGTACGGCAGGGAGATACACACTGAAGAGGCAACGTGAAGTCGCAGTCGTCACCCTCCTCAGCCCTGCAGATGCTGCACATCGGGGCTGCTGAAGCTCCATCTACAGACATCGACTGAATAAACCTAAGCACAGACCAACTACTCTACTAACATACTGTTGCCTCCACATTGCTAGGATTGCCATCTGTAGTCTGTACATATACCTCCTAACCCCAAGTACACCCAGTGGTACTAACACTCTTAAGCTCACTAGAACTGCCAAGCATGTTTATACCTATTTTCTTGTTATGTCTGCCTGTGCCTAGATTTCGCTACCTATACTCCACAATTGACAGAGTAGTATTTCTTCAATGTCTGTGCCTACTCTATACAGCATAATACTGTTACAAATTCTGAACATACATGCATAGATTTAGCCTACTCTACTATCCTAAAAACAGTGCAGACCTGCTTGATGTCTTATGCATTTATTTTAACATAGTATTGCCTGACGTTAATCACCATCTTTAGCCCCTTAAGGACACAACTTCTGGAATAAAATGGAATCATGACGGAATATTTCCGTCATGTGTCCTTAAGGGGTTAACGTGTGACTTAAATTTTAAAAAGTGCCATTGTTTATGCTGCCATGCTAATGTTTATTATCTCTGTTTCTGCATTGCTTGCTATTACTGTCGTGGTATCGCAAAACTGCCAGGCACTACAAAAATAAATAATTAAAAACAATCTGGACAATGGATGAACAGTTTTGATTGATTCATGATTTGTTCCATCGATGACTCTAAAAAAGCAGATGTTTGATTGTTAGGGGACAGCCACTAAATATAGTTTTTATTTACAGATCAAGTGAGAAGTGTATGTGCATGCATGCGTGTGTGTGTGTGTGTGTGTATATATATATATAAAATATGGATTTTTAAATTTATTTTACTGCTCCTCCATTTTCCCTCTATAATATATGTATTTTATATTATGTATATATTTTGCAGTACAATGATTTTCCCACCATTTTGGTTCATCTGAATGATTTTTCCTAAAAAAGATGAGATTTATCTGAACTGAAACGCCATATGGATGAATTTTGGACCACCTGGGAAAAAAACATTTCGAAATATTTGATTTGGCCAAACCAAATTTTTTTGCAATGCAGAAGTCTTCATTATATTATAATCCATAATTAAATTCGACTTTATATTGACAAATATATTAACTTGATTCTGTCTTATGGACTAATGTCATCATATCCCAATTCTAAAAAAAAAAAAGTGTTCCAGGACAATAAAACTCTCATATCACATCATCATTTTCTATCTTTTTTTTTTACTCACTCTGTTCGTGAACGTCTTCCCATCTGCCCCCTGTTTCTCTCCCCAGTAGTACCCATTTTTCCATACCATGCTTGTGTCCTTCTCTCTAGATTCCCCACCACAACCTTTTGTCCATGTACTCATATTCTTCAACCCATACCTTCAACCAGGGCCGGACTGGCCCAACAGGAAATTCCCCGGTGGGACGGTGCACCTGGGGCCGGCAGTGCAGCACTCCTTTTTTTTTTTTTTACTTTTTTTGTTTGGGGCTGGTTTGCTGGATGACTGCAGTGAGGCTGCCAGAGGTTGGTAACAGAAACAGCTGGTGACAGCTGGTTTGCAGCAGAGAGGAGTGAGAGAGCACTGAAAGTTTCTCTCAAAAAAGCACCGTCTTAGTTTCCAGCTCTGCATATACAGTCTGGCAGAGCCAACCCACGCACTGGAGCTCCGCCCCCCAGCCACACCTTGGTGACCTTTCACACAGGAAGTGGAAGAGCTTCATGAAAAAAAATCTCGTATTGCATTTGAAGTTAGAGGTACTTATATATTCACCCAGCAGCCCATGATTGATTGTGTGTGTGTGTAGAGCTTGAAGTTATCTTGTATGTCAGCAAGTTTGTAGTGAGCGTGTGTGTATTTCTGTACTGTGCTTGAGTGTGTGCCAGTGACCTTTGTGTATGTAAGTGAGCATGTTTGTAGTAAGCTTTTGTGTGTCAGTGAGATTGTAGTGAGTTTCTTTAGTGGGCATGTGTCAGTGAGCTTGTAGCGAGTATGCCTGTACTGTGCTTAAGTGTGTGTCAGTGAGCTTGTCAGCGAACTTGTAGTGAGCTTGTCTGTATTGTGCTCGTGTGAGTCTAAGAGCTTGTCTATAGTGAGCGTATGTGGGTGAAAGAGCTTGTCTATAGTGCCCTTGTGTGTTTCACTGAGCTTGAGTGTCAGTGAGCATGTAGTGAGTTTGTCTGTAGTGAGCCTATGTGTTTCAGTGAGCATGTCTGTACTGTGCTTGAATGTGTGTCAGTGAGCTTGTGAGTTTGTCTGTATTGTGCTTGTGTTTTTTAGTGAGCTTGTGGTAAGCATGTTTGTAGTGAGCTTGTGTGTCAGGGAACTTGTAGTGATCTTGTCTGTAGTTTGCGTGTGTATTTGTGTCAGTGAACATGTCTGTAGTGAGCTTGTGTGTGACTGTCAGCCTGCCTGTAGTGAGCTTTTGAGTGTCAGTAAGCATGTCTTTAGTGAGCTTGTGTATGGGTCAGAGAGCTTCTATTTGTGTCGGTGAGCTTGTAATGAGCTTGTGTGTGTCAGTGAGATTGTAGTGAGCTTGTGTGGGTCAGAAATCCTCTGTGTGTGCCAGTGAGGTTGTCTAGTAATGAGCTAGTCTGTAGAGAGCTTGTGTGTGTCAGAGAGCTTTTCTATAGTGAGCTTATTTGGGTCAGAGAGCCTGTGTCTGTGTGTGTCAGTAAGCTTGTGTGTGTCAGATGAGCTTGTGTGTATTTGTGTCGGTAAGCATGTATGTAAAGTGCGTGTGTGTCATTGAGCTTGTCTTTAGTGAGTTTGTGTGTATCCATGATCTTGACTTGAGTGAGCTTGTGTGCGTCAACAAGCTTTTCTGTAGTGAACTTGTGTGTATCAGTAAGCTTGTCTATAGTGAGCTTGTGTATGAGTAAGAGAACTTGTGTGTGTCAGCGAGCTTGTCTGTAGCGAACTTGTGTGTGTCAGCCTGGAGGGGGGCTATTACAGCACTGTAATACCCATGGATCATATGAAGTGAGGGGCTGCAGGTAAGAAACAATATAACCGCCCCCAAAGCACATCGATGTAAAAATACAAACACAATGTAACACAATGAATTCTAGGGCTGGAATATTTTTATTTCCAGGGCTGCTTTGTTTTCCCAGTCTGGCCCTGCCTTCAACTATCTGTATTCTCCCACACCTTCCCTCTTTATAGTTTCTTCCTCCACTTTCTCCATAATCTCAGCCACACATTTTCCAACCTTCTCTTCATATTCTCCCCCACACACTTTCTGTCCAATCTTTATGACCCCCTCAATTTTGGAACCTCATATTCTATTCTTGTCTCTCTTTCCCTAATCATACATTTATTCATACTTTTTATTTTTAAAAACGTGACATGGGACTGATAGTCCTTAGAGAGTGCGTGCCATAATTAGGACTCATGACAGAGCAGTGAAGAGAGGACAGGCATAGAATATATAGACAACTTTCTTTCACATGCTGGCAGTATGCCAAGTAACTAATTCCTTTGGCTGTGCAGTGCACTGTTTACACAATGTTAAATAAATTTTAAAATATGACTGCACCTCACAGTGAAGAAATTAAAAACACAGGTTCCCATGCCACATAACCAGTGACTCACCATAGTGCTTTTCCTTAGATCCTTGCTTAATAGGATATAATTTCATAACAATAGATAACATGAATAGTGTAACGTGCAGCAATGTACCAGAGTACTTATTTTCTCTGATTATATGTTTGCTTATCTGTAGGATGAAGTCATGGGTGATATAATTTATGTCACCAAGAATTTTTTGTTTGACACATTCATTGATGTCATGCAAGGTGGGAACAGTTTAAGTTCATAATTTCCTTACTTTTTAACATTTGAGAACATATTAACTTTTGGCATTAATGTACTTTCCTTTGCTAATTTCCCTGTTTTTCATAATAAATGAAAAAAATATATTTGTTCAAAAATTATTTAGTAAATTAAAAAACAAAAAATTAGCTAATTATAATGAAATGTTTAACAGATGGCAGCATGGGTTTACGGGTGAATGGTGCTTGATAGGTTATAGCTGATTGTGACTAAAGCCACGTGGTCTGTGTTAGTGGTGCAAGGCTGCCTGTGGGTAAGTATAATTGATGCCAGTCTTCCTGTAAATAAGTGGTGCCTGGATGGCAAGCTGAGAGGTGCCAGATGGATTGTGTGACTGGACAGGAAGTGCAGTATTGGCCAGTGGTTCCCACCTATCTCGCTAAAACAATTTGCCCCACTTATGCAGTGCAACTTCAGTCAGTGAGTTCTGCAGATTCAGTTCTCCAGTTCTCTTCTACATGTGTTTGATTCTTTTTGTAGGAATCTCAACATGTTAGGAGATTGGGTGAGGGGGCAGGTGGTTTACTTGGACTTGACGAGATTATAGAAGACACACTATGGAGGGTGTAGGAAGAAACAGCTAGTAAAAGAAGGAACAGTGGAGGATTAATGTTGCATACTAGGTACTAGAGGACGATAAAAAAAAAAGGCACACTGGAGGAGGTATAAGACGGCACAGTGGGTGAAAAGAGAGCACATTAGGGGAGTTTAACAGGGCATACTTACTGGAATAAGGGGGCACTCTAGGGGAAATAAGAGTAAACATAGTGAAGAGTATAACGGAACCCATTTGGAAAGGATATAGCCTTGGGAGGCTATAGGAAAGCTCAATGACTGGTATAAGATGGCACACTAGATGAATAAAAGTGCCCACACTAACAGATAATAGAATACACTGGGAGTATAACTGGGCACACAGGGGGGTTATAAGAGGGTGCTTAAACTGCTTGACCCTGCAGCAACAGTTCTTTCCATACAAAGGACAGGAATGAAGGGTGGGAACACTGCACATTGTCAGCTTGGTATGCACAGAGATAGCTTGCTTCCCATTTAGCTGCACTTGCCATCAGGCCTGTCAGGAGAGATCTCTGTGCCAGCCAAACATAGATTCCATGAAAATCTGAGGAACAACATCATGGATGCTGTGTATTCGCAGACAGAAGGTGTATTCCACCTCATGTTCCCTCCATGGGTAAACAAAATTAGGAGTTTTTTTTCTTCTTCAATAAGTGAAACTAAAACAAACATACAAATTTGAACCCAAAGAAGGGGCACTAGCTTCCAATAAGATCTATCAGACTTCCCCAAATTTCAAATCGATTTTTGGAGCTGTTTTGTCTGTAGACATCTAACCCTAATGTTACGTCTATGTGTATTTTCAATTTGGGGTGATCAGCTATTTATCTGAAATCCTGGACTCGAAAAATACTATATGGAGGTTTCAGGAAATGACCAATGATTGAACCATATTGTTTGTTTTGTGATTATACCCAAACTATCTGCAGTAGCAACCAAATAGTTATTTAAAAAAAAAAAAAAAAGAGGCTGCACATGGGTTAATCATGTGGCTGCCTGCCAGTGGTTGCTAGCCATCTGTCATATTTAATGAGCCTGTGAGGGTCAATAGGACCCCAATATTAGTAGTAATACCTTCCTGCGTGGCAGCATGGCTAATATTGACTGACCACTGTAATTAAAAACTAGCAACTAGGTGATGGGACCTGTAAAATGTCTGGGGGGGACAAGTCAGAGGAGCATCGGGTGGGGGTTTAAAACTATGTAATGGGTGGACTGCTCACTGTCCAGTCCCCCACCCTTTGCTAGCGGATGGGGGCTCTGTGCTGTATAAAGAAATAACTGAAAACAATAAAGTGATTGGGGCTTGCAAAAGTCTCCCCTGTCCCACCCACTGGCAATGGGTGGTGGCAAACAAAAATAATTTCCCGTTGTCTTCTCCAGTTGGGAGGGTGCTATTTAATTCTCATTGGCGACAGGTGGAGGCTATTAATATATTGAAAATGTAAAGCTCGTAGCAATAGAGATTATGACCAACCCCAAAAGGTTTAAGTACATTAAATCCAAAAAAGTTAAGAGAGAAAGCATTGTTTCATTGGAAATTGAGATGGGTGAGTTAATCAAGGATTATCAGGACAAGGCATAAATTCTAAATAATTATTTTTCTTCAGTATATAGGGAAGAAGAATCTATGACTGTAGATTTGCAAATGCCAGTTACAAAAACCTTACAGCAAACAGGTGATTGGTTAACACAGGATAAAGTGCCAACAAAGATCCAACTATATAAAGAAAAAAAATAAAAGGATTGAACTTTGAACTAAAACAAGAAATTAAATAAAGTTATTGTAAACAAATCCCTAATGCCAGATGGTATTCACCAACTTGTGCTTAGGGAGCTTAGTGTAAAAATACCCACACCACTGTTTTACATTTTTCAGGATTCTTTCCTTTCAGGATTTGTTCCAGAAGATTGGAGAAAAGCAGATGTATTTTAAAAAAAAGTTCAAAAGCTCAACCTAGAAACCACAGAACTATGAGCTTAACATCTGTGGTTGGGAAATTATTTAAAGGGCTATTAAGGGATAATATTCAGGAATGTATTTTGAACAAGACAGGTCATGCCAAACTAACTTAATTGCATTCTATGAAGAAGTTAGTAGAAATATAGATCAAGGTGTTCCAGTAGATTTGATCTATTGACTTTTGCTAAGGCATGATACATTTACACACAAAATGTTACTAGTAAAACTGAAAATATTTGGTTTAGATGAAAAATAACGTTTTTGGGTAGAACATTGGCTTAAAGTGCAGAGAGTAGTGATGACACAAAGCTTAAGAAGCAAATACAGTCTGAAAATGATAAAGACAAGACAAAAGCCAAACAAATCTTCCTGAGCAACAATAGCTGCCAGCTGCTTGTTTTTAACTTGTTACGAAGGCATGCTATAAATATCTATCTATATATATATATTATACACACACATACATATTTACATGTGGCAAGAGCTGGCCAACTGCCACACGATTAACCCTCATACTGCCAAGTTTTGAACAAAAGAAAGAAAATAAAGAAAATTTATCTTTTCTTAGAAGCCAAGGCCAAATTTTCCCTGGAGCTGGATCCTCCTTTGGTAAAGTCTCTCCCAGTCACAGCACAGGGAGGAATCCAGGAAGTACCAGCTGTAGGGAGTACTTGGGCACCGCAGAGAGGAGGTCCTTCTGCCATTAGTCATCTGCTGCCAGTTAAATTCCAGCACAGTCTTACAAAAGTGACAGATCCGCTTTGTCTCTTGTTCAGCACCAAAAAAGGCCAAATAAAACTTATTCTGATGCAACTATTTAAAAAAAAAAAAAATCCTAAATCACAACAAAAAATCCAAGTGAAGACACTGCACCAACTGACATTTGAAAACCTTCCTACAGTTTGAAATGCCAGAGCACTTTTTTTTTTTTTTTGGATTGTAATATTGATGCAGAATAAGGAGAAATGTTTTGATAATACAAGCACATATGACAGCCTTCTCAATATGCTAGCAGACTCTCTTGTCTCCATACTATAAGGAAAACCATAACTTACCAGTAAATGTATTTCTGCTGCATGGAGACAGGAAGAAGAGACTGCATAAAGGAACACTCCAATATTAATTGTGAAATGTTGGTTAATCTCTTGGACTCCTTCTACACTACCAAAACCTGTTAAATATTGGGTTAACTTCTAATCTGGCATTGAATGGGTGCTTTCTTGCAGCGCCACTCATTGGAAGAGCATCAGTACTTTTGATCTCATAGAAATTAAATCTCGGTTAGAAGCTTTGCTTTGTGCTAGGTTACAAAGTAAATAGGATATACACTCTCCTGGCTGTCTGACAGCTGGGGGAGGGCAACGTAGTACCTTCATAAAAGTACCAATTTCAAGAGGAATTGGCACTTTTACAAAGTGACAAAGAGGGGACACTGCAAATCTCCATAGCACTTCAGCTTGCTTTAGACATTTGGAGTATATCTTTAAAAAATATATATATATATATATTTTAAATGCATTAACATGCAGGGACACTGTAGTCACCAGAACAACTACAGCTTATTGCATTTGTTCTGGTGAGTAGAATCATTCCCTTCAGGCTTTTTTTTTTTTTTGCCTTTCAGACAAAATTTAGTGTTTACATTACAGTCTAGTGATAACTCCACTGGCCACTCCTTAGATGGCTGCTAAAGTTGCTTTCTTGGGCAGTGCTGCAGAGTAACCAGCAATGCCATTCAGTGTCTTCACCCTCTGCATGCAGACACTGAACTTTCCTCATAGAGATGCATTGGTTCAATTAATCTCTAGGAGGAGATGCTGATTGGCCAGGGCTGTGGTTTGACCTGTTTTGGCACTGCCCCTGATCTGCATTGTGATTGGCTCAGACCACCAATTCTGATGATGTCAGCAGACACATGCAGTTTCAGAGAAAAACAGGGGCAGAACCAGCAGCTTCAGACTTGAATACAAGTAAGATTTTGCTATATTTAGGAATAAAAGGGTGGGGCTAGATGGTGGTTTTAACACTATAGGGTCAGGAATATATGTTTGTGTTCCTGACCCTATAGTGTTCCTTTAAAATTGATTCTAAATCTAATTTTTAAATGTTATAGTCCTAGTCAGACATTTCTATAGCTTATTAAAAAATATATATATATATATAATATTCACCATTCAGATAGGGTTTCATAACTTTTTTTATATGAACTACAAGCCACAAATGTATTTTTTTACAGTGTTTTGCTATCTATTTAGAAGGTTCAAGAATGCAGGATATGACAAATTGAGTTGGTGAATAATAAAAATTTTTATTACATAGATCAGTATTATAATTGAAGTGTATTTACAAAAGTTAAGGATAAAATAGTATAATCTTTCTAATTACAAAGATTTTACAAAAATAAAGCAATGCATTACCGATTTATTGCAGAAAATCAACATCCAGGCTTGCACTAGGAGTCACTCTTAATCTGGAAAAGCTTAAAAGCAATACATCACTGATTAATCTATTGTATAACTACATTTAGACATGATCACAATCATGACTGGGAAGCCCCTTTTTTCAGCCTTTGCTTAGAGTTTCAGGTTAACTGGGAAAGTTTCACAAAACTTATAAAAACAAACCAGCTACTAAAATCGCACACAAAGGGGTTTGCCGAAGCCCAGTGTGTCCTGAGTCAAGATTCTGGAATTCCGTTTGCCCAGAATACTGCAACATCATAGGATACTGAGGCTTTGAACTAAATAACTTTAGAAAGTGTGTGTGTGTGTGTATGTATGTGTGTGTATGTATATATATATATATATATAGTAAAGGATGGCTTGTACTCACGGTCTTTTGAAGATAAAAAAAAAAAATATTCCTTTATTAGAAGTTATTCCATAAAATCATCAACGTTTCATTTCTTGTTCAGGGCTTTCCTCAGGATCAACTATCAAACTTGAAAGCCCCGAACGAGGGCTGAAACTTTGATAATCTTATGGAATAACTTATAATAAAGGAATATTTGTTTTATCTTCAAAAGACCATGAGTGCAAACCGTCTCCTTTACTATATTCTATTTTTGGCTATGGCTTATTGTGTCCGGCACTTAAACATTTTGGTCAGTCTGCGTGCAAGGACTTTAGTGTTTTTGTTTTTTTATATAAGTAAGATAGATATATATATATATATATATATATATATATATAATCCAAAAGACAAAAAGAGAGCACTCTATAGATTTTCAAAATTCAATAGTAGTGTATTCAAATTAGCATAGAAAATCAACGTTTCAACCTTAACCAGGTCTTTATCAAGATGCTGTACAAACAATAATACAGAGTATATATACCCCATAACATTAAAAGAAAGTGATAAGCTGGTAAGCTTATTACTTTATTTTAATGTTATGGGGTATATATACTCTGTATTATTGTTCAAGGTGCATGAGACCCAGTTCCACACACCGATTGGACCACCCCCAACATGCTCATTAACATGCTCATAATGATGTCATATGTCCGGTGGAAGGACATCCCGAACTGAAGAGCTTCCCGTTGCCATGGTGATCTAGTGTGAATATTAGATGTGGAAAGATCGTGATTTAAAAGATAAACAAGGAGGATTAAACATAACCACGACTTGAAACTGTGATAGAATACTACCATATTGGAGCTGAGCTGATGTACAGAGAAAGAGAGTGTGTGTAGAAGTACTAAATCAAAATAAACTTATGCAATCCAACTAAGCAAAAAAATGTAGCATGTATATATAAGGAAACACTGAGCACAAGTGTGTGAGAAAAGAAGCCCATAAGTAATGTCCACATAATATAAATAAAGCATATATTAAGCTCCAAATACATATGAAGATACTGTCAAATTCACTTGACATGAAACTCAAAAATATATATAGTTAACGAATATTAAGAAAAGAATTGAAGGAGACATATTCATTGAGACCTCTAGGCTGGACCGTATTCAATGTCTTAATCCAAAAAGTCTTTCTCTGAAGAGGTACTCGTGACCTGTCTCCCCCTCTATTTAAGGGGGGGACATTGACTATGGCAATGAACTTAAGAGTGGGTAGTCTATGTTGGACTTCCAAGAAATGTTTAGCCACTGGCTTTTCCATCTTGATTCCTGATCTGTGGCCTCTGATCTGGTCTCATAAAGTTTAGTCGGTTTTACCCACATAATAACCGTCAATGTCTTATCTCCCCCCCCCCTCCCACCCCTTAAGTAGAGGAGGAGAAAGATCAAGCGTACTTCTTCAGAGAGACTTTCTGGATTAAGACTTTGGATACGGTCCAACCTAGAGGTCTTGATGAATATATCTCCTGTGTGTGGATGTATGTGTGTATGTGTGTGTGTGTATGTGTGTATATATATATATGTAATATATATATATATATATATATATATATATATATATATATATATATATACACACACATATACAATGTTAAACAAAGCTCTGCACGCCAGTCAAGCCATAAGACTTGCTTTTCCCACAAAAATCACAAATATGCAGTGATGTTACTATGGCGAAGGATTCTGGGTGGGCATATGCAAATTAGTTCAATAAAGAATCACATTTTTGCCTCATTCTATTTTAAACATGGATTCCTTTGAGTTTGTGTTTGCTGTATACAACAGCTTTGAAACACAACTTAGGAAAAGATGCAAAGCCAGTAAACCACTCATGGACAGCTGTATATAAACACACACAAAAAAATTTGCATTACATAAAGTGAAGACATATTTTTACAGAAAATTGTAGGCTCTAATAACATATTAAAGGACCACTTTAGGCACCCAGACCACTTCAGCTTAATGAAGTGGTCTGGGTGCCAGGTCCTTCTAGGGTTAACCCATTTTTTCATAAACATAGCAGTTTCAGAGAAACTGCTATGTTTATCAATGGGTTAAGCCTTCCCCATTTTCTAGTGGCTGTCTCATTGACAGCCACTAGAGGCGCTTGCGCTTCTCACTGTGATTTTCACAGTGAGAGCACGCCAGCGTCCATAGGAAAGCATTGAGAATGCTTTCCTATGAGACCCGCTTGCGCGCAAGCTCTTGCCGCATGCGCATTCAGCTGACGGGCGGATCGTAGGAGGAGAGGAGGCAGAGAGCTCCCGCCCAGCGCTGGAAAAAGGTAAGTTTTAACCCCTTTCCCCTTTCCAGAGCCGGGTGGGAGGGGGTCCCTGAGGGTGGGGGCACCCTCAGGGCACTATAGTGCCAGGAAAACGAGTATGTTTTCCTGGCACTATAGTGGTCCTTTAACATTTTTGTGGAGACACACAAATGCTTAGTTCCTCTGTTTTTATGGTGTTGATATCAAAGGGGAGCAACTGATGCTTATACATAAAAATGCATATTAAAGATCATAATCTATCCTTACTTGTATGCATGCTCCAAGATAGCAGCCATTTGCAAAACAGAAACTATGTGAAGTAAGTACAGGAAAATATTCTGTTTCCATTTGAAACTTTTTCTTTTCTTTTTTTTTTTTTAATTTACCATTCTGAATCAGAGGTAGCTTCTTTCACATGTATATTACAGAAATACACTATTTAGCCAAAAGTATGTGGACCATCACACCAATATGAGTGTTTTGATCTTCCCATTGCAAGATCGTGGGCATTAATATGAATTGGCCTCCTTTTGCTATAGGAGCCTCCACTCTTTTGGGAAAGCTTTTCACAAGATTTTGGAATGTGTGAATTTCAGCCAAAAGAGCACTTGTGAGGTTGGGTCTGATGTTGGCAATGAAGGTCTGGTTCATAATCTGCATTGTGCTTCATCCCAAAGTTGTTCAGTATGGTTAAGATAAGAACTATTTGAAGGCAACTCATGTTCCTCCACACAAAACTCATCAAACCATTTATTCATGGACCTCGCTTTGTATACTGGGGCACAGTCATTCTGGAACAGTAAAGGGTCTTCTCCAAACTATTGCTACAAAGTTGGAAACCCCCAGTTGTCTAAAGTGCCTTGCATTCTGTAGCCCAAAGTATTAAAACCGCCCCAGACAATTATCCTTCCTCTACCAAACTTTAGAGTAGACACTATGCCTTCCAATAGGTAGCATTCTCATGGCATGTACTACACACAAATTTTCCTTCAGAATGACAGATCGTGAAATGCAGTTCATCACAATACAACATGTTTCCAGTGATGGCATGCTTCACACCACTCCAGCTAACGACTGGCATTGCACTTTACATGAGTTGATATGAGTTTTGCATACAGCTACTCTGCCATAGAAACACATTTCATGAAGCTCACAGCACCCAGTTCATTTGATAATGTGCTTCCAGAGGTAGTTTTGGAGTACTGAGTAATGCAGCAGGTTTTAGGTAATTTTCATGTGTGGGCTACAATTCAGTGGCTGGGTTGCTGTTCCAAGCTATTTTCACTTCACAATATTATCACTTTCAATTAACTGAGGCAAATCTGGTGGAAGACAAATTTCATTAACTTACTGCAAAGGTGGCATCCCATGGCAATGCCATGTTTAAGTCACTGAGCTCTATAGTATGACCATTGTTTAAAGTGGAGATTTCATGGCTATGTGTTGTATTTTATGCACCCGTTAGTAATTGGTGAGGTTGAAAGAGTTCACATACATTTGGCCATCTTGTGTAAGTGTTTGTGTTCCATTGAATAAAGATTCTCCCAGTTGTACTGTGTAATGGAAAGCAATCCTTTTCATACCTTTACTAAAGATTTGCACATCTTTGTGTAACATTTACGCATGTGCAATGTTTTTCCTTAGAGATTTGTGGGAGTGAATTTTTAATGACATTCAACAGAAAGCATTTTCATTAAGAACATTTACTAAAGGATGTCCTTATTTCAACATGTATAACTGAAAAAATATAAATTTTATATTAAAACTATTAACAGTATTCTGTTGCTCTGTAGGTATATTCTGACTGAAATTTAAGTGTGATTTACAACATTTTGTGAATGGATTCTGACATCTGGAAAATGGCTCCACCTAGCTTTACTTTTGTTAAAAACAGGGATGATAACGTTGTTCATAAAACCTTACATGTGAGTCATAGCAACTACCTAAACAAAGAGAAAATACAGAAAAGACCAAACCAGTTAAAACTAAATGAAGATTCAGGAGCTACCCTCTCTTTAAGAGGGCAAGACCGAACTAAAGGAAAACCACATTATAAAGAATCATCTGTGAGCTTCATTAATAAATGTACAGAAAAGAAATGGATTACCTGGAAATCTGAGTCCATGGAACACATACAAACAGTAAAATTGAATCCTGGTCAAGATGTAGAAATTGCACCAATGCCAAGTTTTGTAAATGAGTCTAAAGATGGCAGCCATACATGTTTTTCACGAATAGATGAGAAAAATATGTCCAGACATAATTTTAAACTGAGACATTATAACCCCACTGAAATCAAAGTACCTACTTCAGTCCCTTTCAAAAGAAATAAAGCACATGTGAATAAATACCCTTTACCAAATGAAACTATTTTTAATAATACCAATCCCTGTGAAGAATCAAATCGTTCTCTTGGAATTCCTTTATACAATCCAAGTAAAAATAACACAATTCAAAAGAATAACTCATATCAAGGTGATACAATTGAAACACAAGAGAAGATTAATCCAGTACATAAAATGGATACAGTGGACCAAAAAGTGTATGATAAACCATTCTGTAGCACAGATCTCCCAACTGGGAGTTATCCCTATAAAGAGACAAGCATAGATATTACTCAAAAGACAGGATTTAATAAATGTATTAAAGTACAAAGAGAAAAAATATTCAGCTCAACTCTTTCTCAAGATATAATAACAGTGGAAACCAAAGTCAACAAGCAAAAAGATTCACCTGAAGAAAACTCTACATACAGGAGATTTCTGCTTATTGACAACCAAGGTTTGCCATACACCATGGTAGTAGAGGAACCAGAATTGACACAAACAAGTAAGCTATCCAGTGAAACTAGTGCAGATGTTAAACATATTGTGACTTCTAGATCTTTGGCTCCTCGTAAGGTTTATACTTGCCCAGTGTGCTTCAGAATATTTGAATATCTGTCTTATCTCCAGAGGCACAGCATTGCCCACTCACAACAAAAGCCTCACATGTGCACGATCTGTGGAAAAACTTTTAAAAGGACTTCCCATCTTACCCGTCATAAGTATATCCACTTTGGTGGAAAACTTTTCCAATGCCAAGTTTGTCAGCATAGATTCCGAGACACAGGGGAACTTACACGTCATCAGAAGATTCATACTTTTGAAAATCATCACCAATCTGATTTGTGCCATAGGCACTTTGGGGATCAAACCACCTTGCAACATCATATTGATTCCAAACATGCTAAATAGATTATTTGTGCCTCTCATGCATATATTATTCACAAAACAATTGATGTAATAACTTTTACTATATGCAGATTCAGGTTATGTTTGTACATGGTATTAAATAAGTAACACAATATCCATTGTATAGGGTAGTGTGACGCTTAAAAAAAACAACAAAAAACCATAGCTTTAGTATTTGGAAATTACAATCCAATTAAAAGCCAAGCAAAATGGTGTGTGTGTGTGTGTGTGTGTGTGTGTGTGTGTGTGTATATATATATATACACACACATACATATGGAGATTTGCATTTCATTGTAGCAGTTTAGCTCTGCAGTATATAAAACTGTGCTTCAATGTTATTTTTATGTGTGTATACTATGCCATTAAAATGATACATGTTTATTACACTAATAGGCATGATTATTGCCTGATTGTATGGAAGATGCATATAACTTGCAGAGAAGTTTTAACAGTATATTTTTTTTCTCATTTAGTAGAACAAGCATTGTAGATGACTGCAGAATCACAGTGAAAGTAAATATTTTTCTACTGTGACAATGGTTCGGCCTTAAATGTATATATCACTAAGCAGCATTGGTTAGGCCATTCTATATTGATTAGTTTTGGGACACCATTCCTCCTATACATACAAATGAGTGTTTTTTGTTTTTTTTTCTTGTTATGAAAACATCTTGTATGTTGCAATAATTTTATGTGATAAAGTGACTTAATTGGTTATTAATATACATGCGTTATTGTCTTTTTCTAACAACAAATAAAACTTTGAAAGGTTGGAGTTAGTGGATTTCTTTTATGTTTTTAACTATTTAAGTGTTCTTGATTTTATTTGAAGAGATTCCAGAGAAGCAACCTTGATTTGTTTATCTATAGCCATCTTAAAGTAGATGTATCCAGGTCCTAAGTTATTAGCAAGTCGTTAAAAGTTACTTGCCATTGCAGGTCTGGATGGCCTATGGTACATTCATCAGGGGTTAATTTTTCAACACCAGAGCTAAATTTTCACTAACCAAATGCTAGAGGCAAGTTGAAATTTTAATGAGAGAACTGCATCTAAGGCACATAAAATTTCTATTTTGTAGATTACCCAAAACTATTTTATGTGCATGACTCCCTGTACTGACCATGTTGTCACGTGTAGGTTTTCCCTTTGTACATGCCATCATTAGTGGCAGTTAAAACTCATTCACATCAGGGTGTGCCCATTGTCGGATATGGCAATTGCAATTTTCTGTATGAGTGTTTGTCAAATTGGCTTAAAAATGCATCTTACTGTTAGAGGCCATTAGAATGTTTCAAAAGATCAGATCTACAAAAGGGATACTGTAAACACCACAACAGATTTAGCTTAATGAGGTGGTTTTGCTATAGAGCTAATGCCCTTGTAGTCTTACAGCTCAATTCTCTGGTGTTAAATTAAGTGTTAAATTACTCTGTTCATGCAGTCTTAGCCACACCTCCCCTGGCTGAAACTTACAAAGCCTCCTCAGATAACATGTCGTTTTTAAACCTCCTTTATTGTACAATGTGTTAAATTTAGAATTTTATATGTCCTGCTCTGTTCATTGCCTGCATGCGCCTCATGTGTGATGAAAGTTCAATTAACAGAGCAATCATTAATAAGTTCTAAGGTAATAGTTGTAACAATCTTATTGTAAATAAAATCATGTTTCTTGTGGAGGCTTTGTGATTAGGGCTGCATAAACAGTAATAAAGGTGATTTAACTCCTAAATGGCTGATTGCAGGGGCACCAAAGTATATTTGCACCAAAGTAGTGAGTAATCTTTCTATGAATCATTTTGCAGGAATTTTTTTTAACACATTCAAGCTTTGATCACAAATTTCAGGGTTAGTCACAATCCATTTTCTTACTACATGGGAGAGCAAAAAGAAGATTATTGCATTTCAAAAAGTAAGAATATTGTGTTCCTGTCAGTGGCCTTGACAAATAGATCTGTCTTAACATCAGTACCTTGACTCTGGTAAAGCATAGTAAATTATATGACTTTAGAAAAGGAGATCAAGGTCTGGTGAAACCGTTCTATGGACTGTAACGTACCACTCCACAACGCCATTATATTGTCAATATATCTATACCAATAATGTACATGTTTGCACAAAAGTGGATGAGGATAGATGAAACCGTCCTCAAATCTATCTATGAAGATACAGGTGTATATGATAATGCTGTTCGCTGTAGCCCATAGCACTCCCTTTAGTCTTGTAGTAAAACTTGTCAGAGAAAACAAAATTTTTAACCAATATGATATAAAGGAGACACAATAGAAATCACTTATACCTGTCAAATAGGACTTGATATTTTTTTTTTATAGGAAAGGGGAAGCATGACTTCAAAGAAATTACCATTAGTAAATATCACTTTTATTGGTAATATAAAAAAAAAAAAATCACTTTGTTAAATCTATATATGGGTATAGGGAAAAAAACAAAGTGACAAGTGTATATATGTTTAGTTCACACATCCAGTGCTTCCCACTTCAATTAAGGCTTGTAACGAGTATGGCTACAAAAGTACCCACAGCTATTGTAACTTTTTAAAATACTTTAGTAGAATTTATATAACTGAAACCTCTGCAGCTGGAATGAAGTGTAACACTATATTTCAGACTCTATGATGGTTGGTCAGAATCAGGATTACACTTAGAGTCCAGAGTGTTCATACATATCAAAAGACTCATTACTAGAGAGCGTCATATGAGAGCCTCATAATGTGTAGGAATTTCATTAGAAAATCTCGATAGGGCAAGAGCTTGCAGTTGAAGTAAATTACATAATCTAAATAGCCTGTATAATAAGCTTATTACATAACTAGAATTAAATCTCACAGTGAAGGTTGGTTTTCAGAATATTAAAAAGTAAAACGAGTTCGAAGATAAAGTTGGTGAAAATATATCAGGCTAGTATAAATCCACTTCAACACCTGTAGCAAAGATATAGAATGAAAACCAATTGTGGATGGAAATTACATTTGCAATAAATACTACACCCAATATAGGTAATTATTAAGTAAAAAGCTGCTACAGTTGAGGTGAAGTAGGGCTAATTGTAATCTTGAGAGTAAATCTTATTCGTAATAAGAAAGGAACTATGAACCACACAATCCTTGTTGGTGAACTAAGAGATCATCATTTATGGAAAAATACAACCTACCACAACTTGGTTTTGACATGCGACTGGCCAAAGATGAAGCCTCATGAACTGTATAAGTTGTAAGTAAATCAGAACTGAGCTAAAAAAAATTACCTTCTTATATTACTGAAGGTCAGAATAGATAATACAAAGAGAACATAGATGAAACAACCATCAGACAGTACAGTAGTGGATGGAACTTGGGTTTGTAAAGCAGTTTTAATCATGGTTAATACACTGAGCTTGTACCAGCAGGTTATTGTAATACAGGAAGCAAGTGATTGAAAAATACATTTCTACTTGCATGTCTTCCAAAGTTAGCTTGCCAACCTCTCACTGCTTCAAGGCTGTCCCCCTGTATACACTTTGTTAGGTCGAAGATTTAATTTTGCACCACTTGTGGGCACGGTTTCATTTATCACTCCCCTTTATAAACATTCCTCTTATATGCTCCACTCCTTTCCCACTGCTGGATGAGGATCACCAGAAAAGTCCATAGACATTAAAGGAAATTTAATAATTATGGTTAATCATCGCACTGCAGATATTTGTGCACCACATATTCCAATATTCCAGACCAGCAGAAGCCACACAAAATGAAGTGCACAAAGAATTTGTAAAGAGAAACTGTAGATGTTTGAGGATAGGATATATATAATGCTTAGCTATCCATCAAATGTCTGATTGTCATGGAATGTAGTCAACAAACATATATATTGCTCGAAACAAAACAAAGGTTGGTGACTGTGTGTGAAAGTGTTCATAAGTGGGAAGTAAGGTTTAAGTGACAGATTGAGGGGTATCAATAAATGGGTGGTTACAAAATTTCTACCAATTGTTGTCGAGAGCAGGTACATAGAGACTGGATGTGGTTTGAGGATCTGTGCGTAGTGGGAGCTGGCCTAAAGAGAGCATTATCTAGCCCTTGTCAGCACTTACTTGAAGTGTAGAGGGTAATTATTTCTATTTAAAAGCACTTGGAGGAGGATTCTTAAAAAAAAAAAAAAAAATGACCTTTCAGATACTAAATCTCTTACACTTCTTTAAGGGCTGTTGCAAGGATTTCTGCTGCCCTAGGCAAAGATCCATTTTGCTTCCCGCTTATGTCACTTGCTCACTCACTGACAGACATACACTCACACTCACATACTCAAGAGCTGCTTGCCCCGCACAGCAGGCCGGTACCTTAGGTGAATGCCTAGTGTCACGGTTCTCACCACGACATGCAGACTGCCAGACGAGGTCGCCCCAGAAGTGCCCAACAGGGGATTTGAACCTGGGTGCTTTATGGTTCTCAGCCTGTGCTCCTGCCTCTGAGCCACTTCGGTTTTTGGTTTGGCCTGAAACTTATCCTTGCCAAGTCTTCAGCACTGGGGGCTGGACTTAAAGGGAAACTCCAGTGCCAGGAAAACAATCCCCTCTCCCTCCCACCCCCAATCCCCGGTTGATGAAGGGGTAAAAACCCCTTCAATGACTTACCTGAGGCAGCGACGATGTCCAACGTAGCTGCTTCCGCCGCCGCTCCTCCTCTGCATTGCGTTGGCCGGTGGGCGAGACTGATCCCGCCCACCGGCCGGGGAGACCTAATGCACATTAGCGCTCCCCATAGGAAAGCATTGAAAGTGCATTTCAATGCTTGCCTATGAGGAAATGAGCGACGCTGGAGGTCCTCACACAGCGTGAGGACGTGCAGCGACGCTCTAGCACAGGTTTCCTGTGCTAGAAACCAGGAAGTGCCCTCTAGTGGCTGTCTAGTAGACAGCCACTAGAGGTGGAGTTAACCCTGCAAGGTAATTATTGCAGTTTGTAAAAAACTGCAATAATTACACTTGCAGGGTTAAGGTTAGTGGGGGTTGGCACCCTGACCACTCCAATGGGCAAAAGTGGACTGGGTGCCTGGAGTGTCCCTTTAACCTGTGACTGCTCCTGTCAATCGTGGTCCAGCTGTAAAGCATCACTGATTAGCCAGGTATAAGACACTGCCTCTCCCTGAGGGCAGTGTCAGTTCATTGACTCTGGTCCTGTGTTAGAATTTGTGATTTCAGTGTTCTCCAGTTGGCTCCTGACCTTGGCTTTCTTACTGTGTATCCTGACTTCTGGCATCCTCTGACTTTGGCTTACCCTTGATGATTCTCCTGCTTGTGTCCTTACCTGTACCGCGACTTGGAGCAATATCCTGCACAGCCCCCATGCACAGATTCACAGGCTAGGTGAATTCTTACCTGACCACCTTGGCCTGTGTTTAATTGCAAGGGTGAGCATTAAACTCTGCATACCAGACTCCCAACTAAGGTAAGCCGTGACACCTAGTTCGCCTAACTGTTGCGCCGGCCCTGACTCCATTCTAAAAGTTCAATTATCTTTTGATATTAGGAGGTTAATTATATACTATTGTCCTGTTCAGGGGGTATTGCACCCCAGAATCACTCCACAAAATTTTCCCACTCGTCTTTTCTAATTGTTGGAGGTGTGGAAGGCAAGTGGGAAGACATTTATTGAATGCGTCCAAGTCATTGGTTCATGCCCTCTGAAAACATCACAATGGATATCAGACATCTAACCAAAGTCAATAAATTCATCAAGCCAGCATTCATGCTTAGGAAAATATCTTAGGAATTTTTA